GTTTAGTTTTTTTAATTATTTTATCTCGTTCATGATTTCTTGTACCGGAGGTTCAGTGTCTCCTCCCGAATTTTGAGGTCGTGATTTTTTAATTGGCATGTTCGTTTCGCTTTTCACTAGCTCCTTTTAGTTCACTGAGAAGTCACTAGGTAGCGTAATTGTGAGCTTCTTTCAAGTAGGCACTAATGAGTCCTAGTAGTTTGTTACTAAGCGGCTAGCTAGTGCTGTTGTGAAATTAGTGTTATCTTTGATAATACATGGCACGAGTGAGTGCACTGTTATTCTTTGCTGTTTAATGACTGCCTAGTTCTAATCTCACTATGTGTTGTATTTTACTTTCAACAATTTCTTGCCAGACTCCTCTTCCCTGAAGCTACCTGCATTTACGCGAACGTTTCGTTTTCTCGTGCCTGCGCTCTACCACTTTCTGGGATTCTCCGACTGTTGCAACAACCACCACTAGAAGGAACCACATCATATCACACCACGGCCTCGAACTTTTGCGCGTCAACTCCTTTGATTTCATTTATCAATCAATAAATATACATTCATTAATACTTTGGGTTTACACTTGACTATTCGTATGTATAGTAGATATTCAAAATATTGACTCACTTAGAATGTTCTTCCTACACGTTTGACGATCAAATTTTTTTGTTAAATCTTGATTTAAGCGACGCATATCATCAGATTCAATTAATAGTAAAGCTAATGAACTCAATCTATCTTGTTCCATTGTAGTTCTCAGAGGATTTTTTTAATCTTTTTTAACAGTGATAAAGATGGCTCTCTAGAATAGTTTGTTATCATTAATGTTAAAAGGACATACAAAGGCAGATTTCTAAGTTCGGAAAAACTGTCGGGAGTTTATCATTGGTAATACCACGAGAGCTTTGAAAATTGTCTATAAATTCCCGCTTTGCGAAGCGGAGAGGTGATTTATCTGAGAATTTCTCAAGCACGAGTGGTATTTAATAGGACTATTGCACGAGTGAAATTATGACCAGCAGAGTTCCAAAATGTATCAAATATTGAAAATAACTGAAATCTCTGTTAAAATCAAATATGCTATGTTATAGAACATACGCGGTTTATTGGACACCAACATAGTGATCGATGAGTCACCACCTCCTATGATAGATGAGACACAGTTTATGATTGGCCAGTAGGAAGAAGCGGTAAGAAAAATCGGATAGAAAAAGCGATACAGTTTTTGAGATACACCGCCCTGATTGGGGCATTTTGTATGTATAGTTTTGGAACACTACTGGTTTTAATTTCATGAGTGAACTAGTCATTTATGTTTTTATAGAAATCAGTAGAATTAACAAGAATAATTTTATCTTCGTTCATTTTCAAAAGTATGTAATGATGAAATTGTTTCAACTCTCCATCAAGTTTCAAATCCAGATCCTCAGGATACAATACGACAAACGTTTCAACGTTAGATGATAACTTAGCTTTAGACAAGTGCGTGTTTAAAAAGAAAGAAACCTTGTCTGACAGATTTGTTTAAAAACCTGCCCTCAACTTTTCACCTGAGCCTGCAGAATGTCAATGATCACATAAAAAGTTAAAAACCCGAAATTTGTCTCTTGCACTACGTCTTCTGCTTGAACATCATTAACCTGTTTTCTCCGAGTATGTCTTCGAGTAGTTTTCTTTAAAATCAACACCAGTCGGAACTAATTTCGAGTTTTCGAATTTGTCAAAAACTACGCGGAGATGTTGCAAGTAATTTGTCAACGATTCATAGATATCACTGTAAACTTTCAAATTAATTGTGCACTTTGAAGAGCTTGACATATGCGATGAGAGTGATGCAGTGTTATTCCACATTGCTAGCATAAAAACGAACTCAAATTCTTGCTTTTTTATAGCGATATTTGTTGCCACTCGCTGAGTATTTCCCTTTTATCATTATAGTCGGAGATAAAATCTAACGCGTTAAGAATATGGGAATATGAATCGAGTATTGCTTCTGTGGCAACATCTTTCGCTTTCCAACGCGTATCTGAATGTTTCTTTAAACGATTTTCATTGCCGCCAACAGGTATTTTAAGCACTCCATTCTTATCATTGAAGCAGAAAAAATGTGTACAGTGTTTGTACTAATGAAAAACAATTGACGTCTTTCAAACAACCATCGACTACGCTACGACCAACACGATTCAGTGAATGTGCTACACATGATATATATATCTACATCTATAAATAATTCAAAACCTGCGTAGCAATTTGTTTTCCAGTTCATAAAATGTTAAAAACGTTCTACAGGCAGTGCATCTGACGGCGATACATATCTTATAACGCACAGTTCATCAATGTGGGATAGATCAGGTTTTGAATCGAGAGATAAACTAAAATATCCAGAAACTCTTTATTTCATCCAAAATCGTAAAGTGGAAAAAATATTTTAGGAGATTTCTTTAGTTCAAACGTATGATCACCTTTTCTCCGATTTCATAATTTGAAAAGAGTGAGGTCAAAAATGGATCACATTTAGCAATCAGTTATAGGAATCCCAAATAATTTCCATTATTGACATATCCGAATTTCTCATTTGACATTCGGAAACGCAATCCTCGTTCTGCTAACGTTTGGATGACGGAATGACGAATGATATTTTTGAACTCATAAACATTAACAAGTTTAAATAAGCAACTTTATTTAACAACTTAGAAATACTTTCAAATTTAGTTAGTTAGATACCGTATTTGCCGGTGTATAAGTCGCATCAGTGTATAAAACGCACCACTGTTTTCAAGAAGGATTTCATTCTTTAATGTTAAATTTTATACTTGATTTTTATGAAAGAAATGGGAATTTTATTTCCACAAGAAGTGATTTCTTTTTTAATTCAACAACCATGAATTTTTATGTCTAAATATGTGATTTAAAAATATGAATATTTAAAAATTACATGAAAAGGATAACCGATTCATAACAGTAGCTACAACTAATTAAGCTTCACAAATAAAAGGCATAGACCTGACTGAAATAGTAAACTCTTACTTTCAGAGTATTAGGATACACATAATTTTCTCATTATGTGGTTAGGTAAACTTCCGTTCTGTTGCACAATTACCTTGTTCTATTGCATATTTAACAACTTTGAACTTGTAAGCAGTCTCGCTTCTCACCTATTGTGAAGATCAACGGAGGAACTTTATTTGCATTAAGAAGAAATTCGATCCTTATACGCTATCCCAAAAAATTCGCTTGCGTAGCACTTACGATTTTTTATCTCAGTTACGGAACAGTTATCACAGGCTACTGTAATTGATTGCCGACTTATTTTCAACCATGTCATTGGATTCTGAAATACGATATTCTAGGAAATTTTACAACAAACATGTAGACTGTTGAACACTGTTATGACAGTAACAGTGTACGATACAAAATGATTTTTGTAATGCTGTGCACTTAAGATTAAAACAGTTACAAAAAAGTCCATCCGTTGTATAGCACGCATCCTATTTTTTTATGAAATGCTAAAGGAAAAAAGTGTGTCTTGTACACCGGCAAATACGTAAAATCGCTATTTTTTAAAAGTTAATAAACATAAATCTCGTCGTTTGAAGGGACCCCAATTTGACGGAGGCTTAGCAATTTCTTAGTCTGCTTATGCGGTAATCCGGCACTGCCTTGCAGGGAGTGGGCTATTTAGGATAAAACGTTCGAAGATGGAACGCAGACTGGTGAAAGAAAGGGACTTGAATATTTCGCTGAAGCCAGAGAGAGGTGACAGGATTGTAAGCTTTTTTTCATTTCAATGTAACTTACAAATTGAAGTCCACCGTAAGTAAAGAGGGCAACACGGAAACGAAAAATTGATTTTTGCTTACGCGTTGCTATACAGCTCAAGCGGAGGCTGAATCGCCTCAACTACGTTCATCTCTATCTGACTTTATCTTCAAAACTCTGTGTTTTATGAGTGGAGAGGAAGAACCACTAGACTTCGCGAAACAATAAATCAATCTCAATCAAAACTAAATCTAGTATATCCTGTGGGGAAATTAGCTAGTAGAGAAACTGTTTCATGATTCGCTAGAAATCGTAATGATAATTTTGGACGTTCTACAGTATATTGCGATAAGGCAGTGTATTTGTTAGCTGCTGAGGCAGTATATGAGGAAGTGTTAGCTGCTGAGGCACATGCTTATTTGATGCGCATGAAACATAAAATCCCAACTAATCGGCCCCCAAAGACGACAGGAACACAAATCATAGTCAGGCTCTGCATAAATTATGTAGAATCAGCTAGTAAACTATTTCTAGTCTTCTTGAAAACAGCGACGAGGAGTATCAATTTACCATGGAAGAATTTCTTGCAAAACAAAAATCGTTACAGCACTTGTCCCTTAAGATGTATGATTCAAGGATTTACAGATACATCGCGCGAGCAAATTCGCCCCTACTGATTCTATGAGTATCAGAGTGTTAATCATTTAACAACGCCAAATATCTGTTCACAATAGCTGTTTTCAAACATGCTCAAGTGAAACTAGAGCACCGTCGCGTGATAGGATTACGTAACCGTAACTTAACAGTGAACTTAATGTGTACATCGTATCTTGAAAAAACCATTTACATTTACTTTACTTGACCCGATATATGAAAAAAAAACTTTTCGTGAGATCAGGATCAGAGAAAAGATCTGTTTATCACAAGTCGATATGGTCGTGTTTCAAAGTGGACATGAAAGTATGCACTTATCTTACCTGACAGTAATATTAGCCGACTCAAACATAGCTTTCGCTGCCTTTGTTGATGATTTTTCTGAATATTTGTCAGACATGTAGACAATTTTTTTAATTTGCGACTGAATAATTATTTTTGCACATTCATTGCATGGAAACAAAGTAGTGTACATAGTACATCCTTTGAGAGTGCAACAGTTCTTGTTCAAAACAGCATTTATTGCAGCATGACATACTTAAAAAAAGAAAATAGTGATAAGACTAGGTTATATTAATTCTTCAGTTATTAACAAATTATTACGAAAGAAAATTCTTCATACCATATAAGTATTTTTGATCATAGCTGCTGAAATAATCTTTCTCCCAAGGGAATTCGTCATCACTGCAGCCTCCAGGAAATCCATTATATCCCACCCCTACTATTATGTTGTTTTCGTTCACTATGCAAGTACCTACTTGAGTTGATGGATCTTTATTTCTTTTAGCTGCCAACAGTGCTGTGGCCATGAAATATGAATCCCAGCATATGTAGTCTTTTCTCTTGCAGGTCGTACTGAAAACAAATTTTAATTAATGACTAATTGAAAATTGCACAACCCATTATACGCTTCATTCAAAATCGGTAAACGTGAACCTTGGAACAACTGCATTGATTTCATCTGCATCCATTTTCACTTTTGATGCCATTGATATCCCTTAATATTAACCACTCTGTACAGCCATAGATGTCAAGATAGTCTTGAAATGGAATAGTTTGATGTCCTCCACAAGCCAGCTTTCTCCGTTTTATGCCAGCTTTATCGTAATCTTCATTGCATATTCTGACCGAAACTGAGATAAAATAGATTATCTCGTTTACGAAGTGGGCTTTTGATACTTCTCAGGACTGACACTTCTCTTCTCTCTCTTAAATGAATGATGTCTTACGATAAAAACGCAACGTCTGTTCTAAGAAATAAATTACCTCTCCATGTTTTGCAATGCTTATTTTTTCTCTGAATAATGTCTTTTGGAGAACTTTCCATTCGTTTTTACTTTTTAATTTATTTAGTACAGAAAAGTTATGTAATGCTGCAAAAAAGTAGAATTGTCAACAAAATTCACGATTCTCTCTCTCTCTCTCTCTCTCTCTCTCTCTCTCTAATATATCACTCCCCCTCTCCCCGCCTTCCCCCTCTCTCCCACTCCCTCCCCATCTCTACATCTCTCCCTCCCTCTCTCTCAACATGTTTGTCTGTGAACAACACCAGCTCCTAAACAGACTTTACTCCAAAATTAATATTCTCAGATATTTTCGTTTTGGGAGGTACTTTACAAGAAGCCTCAACGTTTTCAAAATTTTGTCAGAAATGCTGCTTAAAGGATTTTTTTTAGGATGAAGCAAAGTACTACGCTTAAAAATGGTGCAAATCTCATTTTGGATTCTCTCTCTAAATTTTCGAAAATTGTAAATCTTTTGATAAGTTGACGTACTATTTTTCCAAAATATTAGAAACTTTCGCGTAATTTTACATGAAATATAGGCAGTGTTGACAACGAGATTACCTCCAAAACGCCGTTAATATTTTCGAAAAAAATTGTGATAGAGAAGGTCATGCTGATAAAAAAATGTGGAATTACGATTTCTGTTAAAGTGAATTTTTGAAAGTTGCAAATGAGAGGAATTTATTCGGCACCTGCCTACTACTACAATATTAAACGTTTGATATATTTAATAAAATATGTAATTTAAAATGTTATTAAAAATAATATAATGGATAATTGTTTAAATTATATGAGTAGTTTTGAAGTAATTTTGAGTAAAATAATGACATTTAAAAAGAATTAAAACAATAATGAAAAAAGGAATCTACTTCGTAATTATTTTAATGGAACACGAACAATTTGTATTAAACTCTCTAAGTTTCGAAAATTGCAAATGTTTAACTTTTTTTAAAGCTTTAGGAAAGTTTTTATATATAAAAGGGAAAGAATTAGGAATGAACAGGTTTAGAAAATAATGAATCTGCAACATGATATTATTGATGAAATAGAAAAGAAACAACTCACTTGGTTTGGACATGTTCAGCGAATAGACGAGAGAAGACTCCCCAGAAGATCCTTAGAATGGCAACGAAAGGAGAAAACGAAGTTCAAAGCCAGGATGGAACGACCAGACCAGAAAGATAATCGAGAAGTGGAAATTACCTCCTGATTCCTGGAAGAACACGGAAGACTGGAGAAAATTAGGCGCCGAAAGACCGAAGAGGCGGTTAAGAAAACGGCAAGAAGAAGAAGTAAAGTTTTTATGGTTTCTAAGGCAATTGAAGTAGTGATTATGGTAAATGCTTACTAAAACTAAGTACCAGAGCTCGAATGACAGTGTGGTCATATGTTTTTCAGATTTGGAAAGACTTTTGCGAGTTCAAGTATAATTATACTATTACGTAAATGCGAGAAAGTACGTGTTGTGGAACACCACTATTTTCAAATGCAGATGAAAGCAATCCAGAAAAAATGTAGTTGACAGGGAAAGACGAACACTTAGTACGACCATAGGCCTTTAGATATCAGAGAATATCCAACTATTGATCATAGAACATTGGAGAATATTCTAGTCCAACTACTTTTGCTTCCAATGCACACTAAGGAAATGAGCAATAATCTCTATATTTTTTTTGTTTTCACTAATATATTTTCTAATCAATTGAATTTTTATTTCTGTTTCCAACTACTGTCATTATGTATCTTATTTCGGACAAATTATGCCAGAACCAGGTATTCTCATTTTTTTTACCTCTTACACAAATGCACTTACCAAATTTGGTCAGCAAAATACTAAATGCAGAAATAAAGATCATTCCTAATTAGTTCCGAAAATTCTGTCGCCACATATCTTACAAACACATTTCCCAGACCATTCCATTTTGCAGACGCGATAGTAATAGATTTTGCCAAAGCTTTTGCTGTTGTTCCAGATCGTCTTAGAAACAAATTAATAGATTCTGGTATAGACACAAGGGTGGTGCCTTGCATAAACGACATTTCGTGATAAGAAGGAGAAGGTTGGAATTGGAAGATATTTATCAACCTCCGCAAGTGTTACCTCAGGGATTCCACAAGGAAGTGTCATGT